TTCATTACCATTTTCACAACAGTAGTTTTAACATTTAAGGATTACGTTCAGCATACTTTCAATCATGTCCATGACAACGGCACGGGTGACGGACTACTCGCACTCGCACAGATTATGGACGGGGACATTCTACTTTGGGATAGTTACGGATACTAACGTCACACTACCAATCTCACGGACTATAGGACAATCACTGAGGAGACCATGAAACTGACGGGAATGTTTCCACAATCCCATATGAGGAAATTGCTGCAAATTGACACTGGACATGCTGCCCGCTCTCGATGTGCACCATCGCAAGGTAAGAAGCCTTGACTTCTTGGGTACATCCTTTAATGTTGTAGCGGGCACCCCGGACGCAAACGTCTTCAGGAAAACTGAACTGACTCAGATGCAGCTGGTCACTGCAACGAGTAGACAAATTTCTATAAATTCGAGGATGCAGAAAAAGATTAATCAACTGACCGAAACCGTTAACAGAATTATTAAGTCCTCAAAAGAAAAGCAGGCCGATACCGGCCACCTCTTCGAAACCTTAAGCACACGCAATAGAATGATGATAACAGAAATAGGGAACCTTATGCTTACTTTAACCTTAGAAAATATAAACGTAATAAACCCAACAATAACAGATCATTCTGATCTTATGAATATTCTCACTGACCAAATCACAGGGACCCCTATTACTGACATTTTGAAAGTATCTAATATTAAGGTAGAACATAAGGATAATGTAATAAGTTTTATAATCGAGTTCCCTTTAATACGTAAGCAATGCAGAAAGATAATAATTTTCCCAGTCGCCCACAACGGTTCTGTACTTCAACTCCACGACAATCTGGTGGCCGATTGCGACGGGCAGATGTTGGCCGTAGCCAATTGTTCACAAGCTGCAACTGCCACATTCTGCAGGCGTTCCAAGAGCATCAGTTGCGCACAAGGCCTCCATGCAGGGGGTACAGCCCATTGCCAAACGCAGCCGAGTCATCTTATCCCTGTCACCATAGTGGACGACCGCATCATCATCATTAACGATCGTAGCGCAATACCCACCTACGACGATTGCACTGCGATGAAGATAGATGGGACAAACCTCGTCGCCTTCTCGGCCCATGCCACCGTAAATGGCACGCGATACTTCAATCGTAAGAGCGTGCAAAATCGGTTCCCGGTAGTACCGGCATCACCGTTGCTAAACATCAGCGGCCATGACTCGATACTCAGCCTTCCCTAAATTCACCGCCTAAGTGAAAATAACCTTAACTACATCAAAGAGGTCAGAGACAGTATTGCAGTCGGAAATACATTGGCGATTTCCTTCGGCATAATGCTGTTGGCCTGTGCTGTGGGAGATGGAGTCTACTGACTCCATAGGCTGACAATCAAGCGTAGAAACTCCCGGAAGATCTCGAAGATATTGGAAAACTTAAACGCGACCGAGGACGGTCGGTCTTCGAGAGGGGGAGTAGTTAACCACTAACTATTGGTATGTGCTGACCCAGCGTTCTGGTTAAGCCAATGACCAGAGTCAAGTGGCGACGGATATGTCGCAACTATGTTGCCGGCCGCGGCGGTCATCCGATACCGCACACGAGGCGCTAACGCTGCACTTTTGCGAGAGCGGCGGTGGCGGCTCTGCGGCAGCGACGGCGACTCTGGGGCAGCGACGGCGTCTCTGCAGGCATTACATATATTGATAAAGATTGTACTTTTTAGTCTAAGTTTGGAAACAATAAAAGTGCGACGTACCGTCCCTTAAGTCTCCGTTAGTTAACTCATTTTTATATGCATTTTTAAATGCAACTGGCAAAATCCAAAGATGCAGACATAGATGTACTAATTTATATATCCATGATCAGTATCATCAGTCGAGTCGATATAGCCATGTCCGTCTGTCCGGCTGTTCGTCTGTCCGTCTGTCTGTTTCTATGCGAACTAGTCCCTCAGTTTTAAAGCTATCTTTATGAAACTTTGCAGAAGTCCCTGTTTCTGCTGCACGCAGTTCATATGTCAAAACCAGCTGGATCGGACCGCTATATCATATAGCTGCCATAGGAACGATCTGTCGAAAAGTAGGTTCTTATATGAGAAACATTTTTGTTTATAAAGATATCTTGATCAAACTTGGCATTTATTAGTTTTACTATGCTCCTTATATAAATGCAAAATCCTATTAAGATCGGAACACTATATCATATAGCTGCCATAGGAACGATCGGTCGAAAATTAAGTTGTTGTATGGAAAATTTGTTTGTTCTTCACGATATTTTGACCAAACTCAGCATTTATTTGTTTTACTATGCTCCCCGTATATATGCAAAATCCTATTAAGAACGTACCACTATATCATATAGGTGCCATAGGAACGATCAGTCGAAAATTAAGTTGTGTGAAAAACCTTTTTTGTTTTTCAAGACATCTTAACCATACTCGGCATTAACTTTTTTCTTGTGCTTCTTAGATATGAACATTATGAAAAGGTTGGGTCTGATAGGGGATTATATATTCGGCGTGCCGAAGATAGCCCTTCCTTCTCGTCTCATTTAAACTCAATTATCAATGGGGCTGTTTGTAGCGAGTTCGAACCCTACCGAGGAAACTTTTTTTTTTTTTCGATGTCGCCATGTCCGTCTGGCCGTCTGTCCGTCTGTCTGTTTCTATGCGAACTTGTCTCTAAAGTCTTTAAAGCTATATTTATAAAACTTTGCTGAAGTGCCTCTTTCTGTTGCACGCAGTACAAATGTCAAAACCAGCTGGATCGGACCGCTATATCATATAGCTGCCATAGGAACGAAATGTCGAAAAGTAGGTTCTTATATGAAAAACATTTTTGTTTATAAAGATATCTTGATCAAACTCGGCATTTATTAGTTTTACTATGCTCCTCATATATATGCAAAACCCTATTAAGATCGGACTACTATATCATATAGCTTCCATAGGAACGATCTGTCGAAAAGTAGGTTCTTATATGACAAACATTTTTGTTTATAAAGATATCTTGATCAAACTCGGAATTTATTAGCTTTCTATACTCCTAATATACATGCACTATATCAAAATCTTATTTACATCGGTCAGTTGTCCGATAGTAGTAGTAGTCAGCTGTCATATAGCTGCCATAGGAACGATCGGTCGAAAATTGGTCGAACCCATTGGAGATGGGTAAAAAGGATATAATATATTTGTGCAAATGTATGTAACAGGCAGAAGGAAGCATCTCCGACCCCATAAAGTATATATATTCTTGATCAGCATCAATAGCCGAGTCGATCTATCCATGTCCGTCTGTCTGTCTGTCCGTCTGTCCGTCCGTCCGTCGCCCGTATGTATGAACGAAACGATCTCAGAATAAGAGCTAGAGACTTGAAATTTAAGCTGTAGGTCCCCCTAGTCCCCGCGCATATCGAGTTTGTTTCCGATATTCGATAACTTTCCCCGCTTCCAAGTAATTGATAAAAATCGATATCGAAATCCTGTTTTTTTGAGCAATTTTGGCAAATAATATGAGCTAGAGTCACCAACCTTGACATGTAGCTTCTAGAATATATATATATATATATATATATATTTTTCATTTTATACCTATCGCCTTTCGGAAGAAGAGGGTTCAGGGTATCCCTTAGTCGGGAGCTCCCGACCAGAATCTCTTACTTGTTTTTATTAATTTATCTTTATTACTACTAAAACAAACTAACGCGTAGCGCGAGCTGCATGTGGTTTTGGAATAAGGTTCAGGGTATCCCCTAGTCGGGAGCTCCCGACTAGAACCTCTTACTTGTTTACTATTTAGTTGGTACCAGTTATAACTTAATTATTTTTGAAAATTTAATATGTTCTAATTCATACAAGTAAACGTAAGAGAAGACATACTCTCAGAGCTCTCATTGATACAATATTGCCGAAGTTAATGTTTGTATGTGTGTGCACAAAAAGAATTGGGAACTTTAAATTTGTGGTTTTTTTCAGAATTCTTCGACAAGCCGATGATTAATTCAGAGTTCAGTTCTTTCAGAATGTTATGTTACTTAAGAAAACCGGTACTTTAAATTTGAAGACAAAATATATACACAATTGATAGGAATGCCAATGGGATCAGCGGCCTCTTCAGTATTCGCAGACACAATAATGGAAAAACTGTTGGACAACATTACTGGAAAATTTGACGAAATATGTAGATTTTCTTTTTTGTCGTAACGGACAAAACAGATATACATAAAAGCTGGAATGAACTGAACTAAAAAATTCGAGAAGTTGTAATATTTTGACTTTATAGTAAGCAGTCTTGAAAATTCACTCAAATTAGGTGTTAATAAGAAACCCATAGCCTCTGGACGAATACTTAACTTTAACTTTAACCACCCAAGAAGTATAATAATAAATGCATCACTAAGCTGTAAGAGAAGGATGATCAACGAATCGCACACAATATATCACAAAGAAATTGGACACGAAATTTAAAAACTCTTGACCAAAAATGACTTCCCACAGAATGTAATTAAAACATTATTAAAAAGACATCAAATCAGAACACAAAAGCCAACAGAACCAACCAAAATATACAAATCTCTAACATATGTACCACGATTATCAGAAGCCCTGAAGAACTCAGACTGATACAAAAAATAAGAAATATAAGTAGCTTACAAGCCTATACTTTACAAACATATTCCAGCACTACAAAGGCATAGATTCCAATGATGGACAATTATAATGTTATTCACAAAATATCATGTTGCGGGGACAATATTTTAATCTATTTTAATGTTTATTGTTTTTTGTCTCTTGGTGTTAACGCGCCTAAGACAGTTGCCGATGTGCAGCCAAAATATATCAGAAAAATTTGAATTAAATCAAAATTGTCTTTTATTCTTGGTTTTAATAAACCAAGGACCTCGAGCCAGCTAAATTATGATTTGTTAAACGGAAAGGTCGACAAAATCAGCATTATGTCATAAATCTCATAATATTCATAATGTAAATATATTCGTTAAACTTACCTTCTTTCATTCCAACAATTGATTTTATGAAACAAATGAATAATATGCACTGGAAAGGCTTCTCCATTGATTTCTTATTTTTTTTTTAATTTAAATATTAATGTGTTAGTTTGCACATTCAATACGCCGAAGTTTAAAAATGTTAAAATTTTTTTAGGTTATCTGTTAGGGGTTCACATATGTATACATTTGTATATTATATTTCATATTATTAGAATTTAAATATGACAATTATTGTACATAACTTTACGAAAAAGTTAACGATTCTTATTTTTACATAGGCAAATCAGAAGCAAGACATGAAACCGCCGCTCTAAAAGTAAGATTTTCTTCATGATTTAAATTAACCTATATGGGTGGAATGGGAAATTCTAAAAGCTTGGCTGCTTAATTAGCCCTATTCCGATTGTTTAGTAACTGTGTAAGAGAAAATTAAAGACTTCATGTGCGAAAATTCAGGATTCGAGAAGTGCCTATTATAACTTGGTTATAACCCAGAAGTGCATCTAAATTTTAATAAAAATTAAAGATTTAATTAATAATAATTAAATAATGATTATAATTTAAAAATAGAATTCGTAAGTTAAGATTTTTTTTAAAAACAATGCACAAGTTTTCTAACCATCTTTTATTATTTAAAGTTTGACAATTTTACAAATTAATCATGCCATTTGTTACGTTTTCAGGCCACAGCCGTGGCCATGCGTTTATCCTTCTAATTGGCTTCTAGGATGTTGTTTTTATATGTCCAGGTTACTAGGATTATTAAATTGATTAATCATTTTTGATCGAATCCTTAAACTTACCATCATTACTCACCACTTTTTGAAATTAAGTTATTAAGAAATTAAGTAAAATGAACACTTGTAGAATTAAAAAAAAAATGAGTGTACACCCTTAATGGCAACACCAAAAAATAAAAGGCAGAGAAACAGGCGCACATTTTCACCATTAATATATACTTTGTATACACTTTGCGTTTTGCTTTTTGATAGCCAACAGATGAATTTAAAAGAGAAGGTTTCATGAATTGAACATTCTACTTCGGTATGCTTTTGTCTTTTTGGCTCGCACTTATTTAGCCGAAGTTAAAGTCATGAAAATATCTGACATAGCGGCGACGTTTGCATGTCTTGCTGCTGCTTTGCCCTCCGAAATGGTAAAAATATCATGTGTTTATTTTTTCATGTAGTTACTTACAACTTTATCCTATTGAAATTCCAAATACATGAGTTCGTGCATGAGAAAATGTATAACCGTATAGACTTTGTTATTCGACCACTATAATATTATAATTGTAATCAAATAATATTGCTTTCATATTTAAGTCAATAATATGAATTTGGAACACTGATTAAACCGGTAAATACGTACACATGACTTGGCACAGCATCTCAAAGTACAATTGAATGTACTTAATGAAAATAATAATAAAATATTAGAATAGAAGATTAGGAATATTTTATTTATATATGAATAACGGATTATATGGATTACACCTTAATTAAATGGAAAATCACATTTACTTCTCTGTAATTATTTATACATATAAACTTTTGATGAATTTAAATACTTAAATTTGTTGTTTCGAAATTGCGATGATTAACTTTTCTGCTAATGCATAAGTCATGTATAGTTAATAAAAGTTGTAAGTATATAGATGGAAAGTATTTTTATATTGCTATAGCAACCTCTTAATAATAATTTTTACAGCCTCTAAGCTGCGCAAATAAATTCCCCGAACACTAGACAAATTTTGTGAAAATACTGTTAAACTGGCGCATGCGCCGTTGCGGACTGATGGAAACATCAGAAAATATGACCTTTGTGTATATACGAGTACAACGGTACACATGTCACGTATATTTGCATACTTTTTTGGTTTTTTCATTTTAGAGCTCAGGTCATTATTTCCAAATCACATTTAAAGATTAAGTTAAAACATTTTAATTATTGAAATCATATTGAAAGCATATGCTGGTAATGATATTAGTTTGTTTTATTTAATAAATAAGAAAAAAAACGTTGTCTTTGAGGTGGCAAAGAAGACAGAACTATTGGAGTTTTAGAAATTATTCAAATTTCGTCCTTATATATGCATATGTAAGATACAATGGTGTCCAACAATTTTTTGACAAAGCTCCAAGCAATATACCATCGAGTGTCACTCTTTACTCGTAGAAGTAACGGTATTCACAATACTTTCAAGAGAGAGTGGCTATTGACAGCTTTAAGAGAGCAATAGATCAAACTGATAAGTTAATCCATTTCTTTGCTATGACATGTTATGTGAGAGATTATGCATTATTGGCTGGACAAAACTATTATGACATTCCATACTTTTAGTTCTTATTTGTGGCGCGTGCGATAAGCACAACTTTTCGCAATTTGTAAACCTATTATTCATTAATTTGTTTACCGTTTTTTCTTTAAAATATGGGTTAAACACGTGAACTATACCAAATCCAGCTTTACAAAATGGTTATAAATTAGAACGCTGGTATTTCGGTACAAAGCCTCAGCCAATTCTATAAAGTACCGCGGAAAACTATTTACTACCAAATCAACAAGCATAAACAAACAAATTCATCAGATAATTTAGCCAGAGCAAGCAGATCACTCAAAACTACACCAAGACAGGATCGTATAATTCTTTGAAAAAAATATAGTTTATCACACAAAATTTGCGATTTTTTTTATGTCAAAATACTTATAGCTTTTGCATACCCATTTCTACAATTTTTCCTGGTATCTAATCTATTATGCCTGTTGATCAGGTTGTATAAAAAGATGTATTGGTTTCCTGCAATGTCTTTTTATCTGTCCCTCAATATGAACAAAATTCTAACGGGATGTAGTCTAGTGTTGTGTATTCGTACAGACACATTGTAACACTTTTTTGACCACATACACATAAAAATAACAAATAAATATATTAAAACAGAAGTGCAAGTCAGTGAGACGATCAAATTTAATATGAACGGCATGTTATCGGTTGCCCGTCTTACGGCATAAGTGCTGAGCATGCATCCCAGAGGCGAATGAACGAGAAGTATATAGCTGCACGCGAACTAATACATTAATGTAATCATATATGCATATGTAAGTACGCTCTCCCTCACAGAGCATTAAAATAATTATGCTAAGTTAGAATTGTAAGCTACGAAAAGTTCTGTCAGAATTTAATGAAACGATTCTAAAAACCGACAACAAACAAGCACGATGTTTTTTATATAACATGGCTACCGTTTCAGGACCAATTCCTACAAATTCTTCGAATTTATTTGAAAAGATATTCAATAAATGATAAATAAATAAATAAATTAGATATATATACATATTGGGCATTGATCTTTCAGGTTTTTATCCGGACGCACTACACTAGCATTAACCTGTGGTTGTAGAGTATCTAGCATAACCAATTTGAAAAAATCACACGATTTCGTATTTATGAGATTTTGAAACTAAGCACGTCACTATAGAAGATGCAACTGCCAGCTCTTGTGAAAGTCTCTCGATCTGAGATCTTAAAGCCTAGGCGATGTGCGTGCTGCCAATCGGATCGGCTGTTTTTGGCTACAGTAAATTTAAATAAAATAAAATAATCTTAAATTCCTTGACCTCGAGTACTTGGTGCAGATCAAATTAAATCTCATTAAATAGTAGCCATAAGAGCTAAGAACGAGTAAGAGGTTCTAGTCGGGAGCTCCCGACTAAGGGATACCCTGAACCCTCTTATTCCAACACCAAATGCAGCTCGCGCCCGCGCTCGTTTGATTTAGTAGTAAGAAAGAAAAATGAAAAAAAAAAAATGTTCCCTTGGCAGGGTTCGAGCTCGCAACTAACCGCACCACTTGCCGCTGCTCCAAGTCAACAACCACACCAATAATTGAGTTTTAATGAGAAAAAAACCAATAAAATAGCAGCACAGAAAACAATACAATCGCAATTGCAATGCTGTTGATAGAATTCAAAGTAGGCGCGAATGACTGTGTGTGTGTACATGTATACAGAAATTCTTGCATGTAAATTGCGCTAGCTGCCGCTGATAGGAGTAAAGTCAAAACACGTTTTCTTTAATCATTTCTGTATTTCTTAACCGATCTTGATGAAATTTTCTAAAGTACATCTTATTGTACCATAGAATATTCTTTTATTATCAAAAAGTCATTTATATTTAAATTGTTACTTTTATTTTTGGGCAGCATAAATTGGTGTTTTTACTTGATTTATAGCTATGAGGTAGTAGCGGGGAGGTGGCGATAGCTATAAAATGAAAGATACTTGATATATATATACTATTCTAGAAGCTACATATCAAGTTTGGTGGCTAGCTGTTATTATTTAGCAAAATTACCAAAAATAGCCGAGATCTTATAGGTTCTGAGATCCTGGCGTTCATACATACGGACAGACGGGCAGACGGACGGACGGACCGACAGACGGACATGGCTAGATCGACTCGGCTATTGATGCTGATCAAGAATATATATACTTTATGGGGTCGGAGATGCTTCCTTCTGCCTGTTACATACATTTGCACAAATACAATATACCCTGTTTATCCATTTTTAATGGGTTCAGGGTATAAAAAATACTTTTAAAACAAGTAAGAGACTCTAGTCGGTAGTTCCCGACTAGGGGATACCTGAACCCTATTCTATCAACACCTAATGCAGCTCACGCTCGTTTACTTCAGCAGTAATAAAAATAAATTTGAGAAAAAACGAGAAAGACGGGCTATCTGCGGCGCGCCGAAGATTTAATATCCTTGCAGAGCTTATCTTTACATAATGCTCATAGTGGTTTGCCCATATCTAAGAAGCATAGGAAAAGTAGTTAATGCCGAGTATGGTTAGGATATCTTGAAAAACAAAAAAGTTTTCCATACAACTTAATTTTCGATCGATCGTTCCTATGTCAGATATATGATATAGTAGTCCGATGTATATAAGATTTTTCATAAATGGACGGAGCATTGTGAAACTAATAAATGCCGAGTTTGGTCAAGATATCTTGAAAAACAACAAAAATTTTCCTACAACAACTTAATCTTCGACCGATCGTTCCTATGTCAGCTATATGATAAAGTGGTCCGATGTTGAAAGGATCTTGCATATACATATATGAGGAGTATAGTAAAACTAATAAATGCCGAGTTTGGTCAAGTTATCTTGATAAAAAAAAAAATTTTCATGCAGCAACTTAACTTTCGACCGATCGTTCCTTTGGCAGCTACATGATATAGTGGTCCGATCCAGCTGGTTTTGGCATATGTACTGCGTGCAACAGAAAGAGCTTTAAAACTGAGAGACTAGTTCGCATAGAAACAGACAGACAGACGGACATGGCTATATCGACTCGGCTGTTGATGCTGATCAAGAATATATATACTATATGGGTTCGGAGATGCTTCTATCTGCCTGTTACATACATTTGCACAAATACATTATAACCCTTTTGACATGTCGGTTAACACTGCACCGTTGATACAGAGTCCTGAAAGAGGCAGGTCGTGGATTACTCTGAAAGATGTTGAGGCTAGCGTGTATTAATTTGATGGGTCGAGCTTGAGAGATATTGAACAGTGGGTGAGTGAGTTAGAAGGATACGCTTTATCGGTACAGTGGAGTTACTTACAGTTATTTATTTATGCCAACCAGTTGCTTGAGGATGTTGCTATATGATTTATTCGTAGCCAACGTGGTATTAATAACTAGGAGATGCTTAAAAACGCATTGAAAGTGCATTTGAGGTAATATTGTTATTATCAGAAATTCGGAGAAGATTGGGAAATCGGCAGCAGAAAAAGGCTGAGTCGTTATTAGAATTTGTATATGCGTTCATGGAAATAGCAAAATCAATTGATCTCGAGGATGAGAGTTTGATTGACTATTTTATATAACGTATACCAGACTCTAGAGCAAACAAGTCGCTTTTTTATCATGCTCGAACAATCAAATAGCTTAAACTTCAGATAGAAACCTATCAGAAAGTTCGTGGTTCATGCGCATCGCCTGTAAACTTGGATCAACAAATGTGATGCAGTCTAACATGTAATAAATAACTGTCCTAAAAACAATTTTTATTGATTTAAATGTGGTAAGCCAGGACACCGAGCGTGCAGTGTAATGGCGAAAGCCAATATAAACAAGAATAAGCCATTGAGCACATTCACTTCTTCTTGCTTAGAATTGAAAGACCTAGTTTGTCACTATCAAGATCAAGATTGACAATATTCAGATGAAAGTCGAGCTTCATGTTGTGCCGGATGAGGACATAAGCTTCGAAGCAATTCTTATATATATATATACGCATTAAAACA